ANGATCACGGCTTTCAAGGTATGTTCCATGATCACCATCTCTATGCGCAACCATACCTTATAACCATAAGTGATCTAGGGATTTTATCTTAAGTGCAATTATAAGATAAATGCTTTCTCTTAAGATAAAGAAATGCCTTATTCATAATATAATTCCAATAGACTGTATTTACAAGTAGAATACGTCCAATTAGATTGGAACGCCGGGTACCCTACTCTAACAGGTTGTGCCTCTATTGATATACCAGATGATATTAGACTTGATCCCTCCGATGATCCAATTGCTACGATTGTGGAAAGTACCTATCCAATGTTTAAGAATTCAACTAAAGATCCAAGTTATTTGAAGGATAGGGCTATTTTAGCGCCAACGTTAGAGGTCGTTGAGTCTATCAATCAGTACATGTCGGAGATGAATTCTGCAGAAGGTCGCACGTATTTGAGTTCTGATAGTGCATCTAAGTCTGATTCCGGGAACGACTTTTTGGCAGATCTCCACACGCTTGAGTTCTTGAATAGCATCAAGTGTTCGGGAACACCGAATCATGAGTTGCATTTAAAGATAGGAACTCCAGTCATGTTGTTGCGGAACATGGACCATTCTATGGGACTCTGCAATGGGACACGGTTGGTTGTGACTAAACTATCCTCTTATGTGCTTGAATGCAAGATATTGACGGGTGATCATGCTGGCGAAAAAGTGTTGATTCCTAGAATGAATATTACTCCTTCTGATCTTAGGGTTCCTTTCAAGTTCCAGCGGCGGCAATTCCCACTTATGGTTTCATATGCCATGACCATAAACAAGAGTCAGGGACAGTCTTTATCGCATGTTGGTCTTTTTCTAAAAAAAATCTGTCTTTAGTCATGGGCAATTATATGTTGCTGTTTCGCGTGTAACTACGAGAAGGGGGTTGAAGATATTAGTTTGTGAGAATGACGAGTTGCCCAGTAATCAAACTCACAATGTTGTGTACAAGGAGGTCTTTAATAATATATGATTGTTTTTTTGTCGAATATTATCTTATTGTACAATTTTCCTGCGTATTATAAAATTTTTATTGAATATTGCATCTTATAATATAATATTCTCTAACTAAATATATTTCGTGCCTCGCACGTGTCACGTACTACATATATACCGTACATTTGTCTGTTTTCATGTATATGAATATAAGCCTGAATTAATAACCTTAAAGACTGTGCACCCCGTGCATCGCACGGGTACTGTACTAGTATATATAATAAGAATTACTATTTATTAAAAATAGTAAACAAAAAATCTGACAACATTAATTGCATATCCTTTCGGGCAAGTTTTGTTTTTATTTTTTATTTATTAAATGAGAAACATTTAAATATGCCTTCAATCACGGATAGTTAGTTTTGGTAACCAAATTGCTCAATTTTGGTAGAAATAATGCTTTTAAAAATTTGAGTTTTATTTCAATACCAATTCTTTTTAAAATTAATTGATATCAATATTCATTATTTGGGCAAAAAAAACTTGCAAGTTCTTTTTCCATAATAATTGTGTGCAATTCATCAAAATCAATGATAACACATAATTAATTGTCAGATTTGTATAGCCGAGTTGAGTTTTAAAAGAAAAAAATCATTTGGACGCCAAAAATTTTGTGTAACAACATAATCTTGCCGATCAAAAAAATAACAAATCTACCGACACACACTCAAATTTTAAGAGTTCTTTTGACTAATCGTAAACACCCAAAAAATCCGAACATAAAAGTACAAAAATCGAACATAAAAACCCTAAAATTAAAAACTCCACATTTCTTTTTCGGGCAAAACAACTAAAATTAACAAAATCTATCGACACACACTCAGATTCGAAGGATCCTTTTGATTAATTGTAAAAACAAAAAAATTCGAACATAAAACTACAAAAATCGAAAATAAAAACCCTCAAATTGAACAATCCATATTTTGTTTCGTGCAAAACACCTAAAACTAATTTAAAGCATCGATTAAATGAAAACTAAAAAAGAATATGTATTTATAAGATCCTCAGTGTTAGAACAGAAAGCTGGAAGAAGATCGATGAAAACAGACGAAAAAAGAAACTGGAAGGAGCGAAAAATGAAGGAAGAAATGAAGCCCTTGGTCCGATAATTTCACTACTTATACTATGTTCAGTGTAATCTAAACAGTCGATTTGCGTTGACTAATCTGGATCATTGGATTATTTTTTCTGCTTTGTTTGGGCCGATATGAACTTTCGAAGCCAACATTGTAAATTGGACCGATATGAACTTTTTGAAACTCACATTTTTCAAAAACATTCCTATCGTACAAGCCCAACATGATTAATATAAATAATTACACATATCTTATAATAAGTACTTGTTAGGTTTAATTATAATCAACGATCGGTGCTTTATTATATAATTTAAATTTAAATACAAAATTGCTTTTTAAAAAGGACGAAAATAATAAAGCCTCGGGTACTGTACTAGTATTGTTAATGGAATCAATCCGTGGAAATTAAGGAATACAAAACGGAAATCCGTAATAAATAAATAGACATACCGATTCTGGTACCTATAATTCAGGTAACTACGATTTCAAAATTTCGAAACGGGATTTATCATTTATCGAGCTC